CTGGTCGGTCAGCGCATTTTATTTACTGATAGCGTATTCTAGTCAATCAGGTCTATTTATAGCATATTCTAGGTAGCCATGGTAGTTTCATGATGCTCATCTTCTTCCGCCCCCACCGAACCGCAAACCGTTTCAGCTTCCTCCCCACGTTCGCGCCTGCGCCCGATGCTGCGCCAGTGCCGGGGGTTTGGGCGGGATCGGCAGATTTTTGGGCGGGATCGGCTGTTGGCTGCGGAGATTTCTTTTCCTGCGGATAAAGATATCAGACTTTAGGTCTGGTAAAAACGCCTTGGCCAGCTTCTGTGCCTTCGACTGCAGCTCCGGCTCCTTCCAGATTAGGCGACCAACAAAATCGGCGAAGGCCTTGTGCTGCGTCTGCTGATGCTGGTGCAACGATCCGGAGTGCGAGCTTCTGCCAGGTAAAGGTATCCAGGGGTCAGCTCAGGAGCTGGCTTGAAGGAGGATCCACTTCCGGGCATCGTTCCTGCGCCTGCTTTCATAAAGTTGTTACCCATCATGATACTCCCAGGTCCACCACCAGATGATAGAAAGCCGCCCGCCGCGCCACCGCCGCCGGCAGGCAAGAAAGACGTCGACGCTCCACTTCCGCCTCCGCCCCCGCCGATCATCGCGTCCTCAGTGGCAGATTGGGACTTGTGGACCAGGGACAATATTATCTGCACCAGTTTCAAGCCGAACATGAGGAGCACCGGTTTGATTTTCTGGAAACATGCAAGGACCACCATAACAAATTGCACGCATCCTTGTGCCAGACCCGGACATATCCTACGCAAAACAAGCATCATTGAAGTCACGCATTGCAAACGTTTGCTTTTTCTCAAGGTTAAGGTAAATCAGCATTACAAATTCTATGTCTCATTCTGAGGAAATAATTTGTAGAGCATTTATACGATACTTATTTTGCAGCTCCTAGGAAGGACATACTTGCAGTTGATAAACCGACCGCGCGGGCAATCGCAAGGACTCTTCCGGCAACTTGTTCCTCGTGCCGTTCCCGCATCTTCGCCAAAAGTCCTTTCGCGCGATTTGGTGAGTGCCCAAACTTGCAGTTTTGCGCCAAAAAAGCCAGCTGCCACAGCTTCAACCGCCACCCTCGAGCGGATGCGGCATCGCGCTTCGCTTCCGCCGACTATGAGAGTGCACAACCCCCCCTACCCCTCATCTGCAGAGCATGAACAGCAATACAAACGCCAGCACGTGTGCATGCTGTGCATGACAACCTTATGCACAGACTGATGTGCTGTTTGGGATTTCTGAATTTGTCATGCAAACAGTTCTACAAGGCAGCAGCTGGATGGGGGATTTTGCATTACAAATGAGAGGGAGAGGGAGTTGCGCACTTCCATATTATTCGGAAGTGTTTGTCCAGTGGTCGCGGATACCGGAGAATTTTTCCAGAACCTCGCGCGCCAGAATTCCCCCCCAGAGACGTTTATGCAATGCTAATTTGTTTGCATCTGAAAGATTCTGAGACTTGTCATGCACGTTTTGCATGAGCTGAAATGTTTCTGTCTGTAATGCATCCCGTAGCACCACAGATCTTTTGAGGGCTTCTTGATACCTATTCCGCATGACAAATGCCGTGCTCCCTGGAATTCGGCATGACAAATGCTTACTCCGCATGACAAATGCCTACAGATTTTTTTGGAATCCAAACGCAGCTTTACAAGTTGCGTTCTCCCAGACCCAGATATATTTGCGGGCGATATCGCTGCGTTCTCTTGCGTTGTTGCTCCGTTTCAGAACCTCGGCCAGCGAAGAGGGGAAACAGACGAAATCACTCGCGGAGGAGCTGCTGGAGGTGCTCGTCCCTGTGATAGAACTCGCAGCGCCCGTCGAACTCACTTCCATACTCGTACTCCCACCCGTGCCGGTCGAAAATCCAGCTCTACCCCCGCCCGGGCCGGTGCCTATATTTGCAGTGCATACCTCCCCGTCGGAACCAAAAGCGGCGTTGAAGGCCGGCTTGTAGAACAGAATGCCCCCCGGGATGAATGCACTTCCGTAGAGGCAAAGTTTGAAGGAGAGTGTGCCCTCCTCGAGGTTCACGGCGTGCACGTCTTCTTTCTGGTACAACTTTATCGTTCCCGAAGTCACCTCGGCGTTGAGCCCGCGCGCAACGTTGTTCATGTCAGTGCCAGCACGTCGGCTGCTGGCGCCCCGACCTGCGCCCATGTGTGTGCCTCCTGCTGCGAAGGCGGAAGTGCTCGGACCGCCGAACAGCGAGCTGGCGCCCAGCCCGAGAGACTGCTCCAATGGTCCGCCGGTATGCAAGAAAAAAACTGTGTAAGTGTAAACTTGTGTTGCAGAAGATGCAACAGAGTTACACCTGTCATGCCAGACAGCCACGAAGTCCTCTTTTCATGTTTGTTTTCCTTTGCAAACCATGCATAACAGGTTTTTTCTGTCATGTAGAGCAAATTTGTGACGCTGTTCCTCAAACAAAGTTACACTTTCACACTTTTTTTCCTGGATAGCCGGCGAGCACCATGTAGTGAATCGGAAACGGCAAATTGGAACGCAGCTGGATCGTCGGCTGCAGAAACAGGGTCGACTGCACGACAGAGCCACTACGGTCCTGCAAGGGGAGCTGTTCGCAGTCGAGCGTGGCATTATCAACTGCAAAAATGTCTGGGTCTGGAAGGATGCGAATTTGTGATGTGTGTTGCGGATCATAGAGAAATCAGTGTTGCGTGACTTGCAAAAGGTCCCCATTTCTGGCCATGCTGAGAGGGTATCTCTCATGCAGTATAGGCATCACCAAGGGTCTGCAGAACCTGTGACGCGAGGCCCTGCATTCCAGATTTGGTGGAACTTGGAAAAACTGCATGACAAATCTCGGAATCTTCGAGACCCAGACATTATAGGCATACATGTGGAACCACTCCGGTTCTTCCTGCTGTTTCATGTTTCGCCGGGCGCCGGGAGCTATGCAAGAAAAAAATTATGTGAGTGTACGTCTGTGATGCAGGAAGTGCTACTCTACTCGTCATGCTGCACCCGCGTCATAGGCTACTTTAATACCTGTTTCCATGTACTAGCGTGCGCATGACAGATTTCTCTGTAATGCAAAACGAACTTGTGATGCTGCTCTTCCTACAAAGTTACACATACACAGTTTTTTTCCTGGATAGGAACGCTGTCCTCGTCGTCACTGTCGTTATCCTGTGCAAAAGTATCGTGCTCGTATGGCAATCATGCATTACAAATCTCTTTTTTAAGGGAAACCCGCATTACAAATTTCACTTCTCATGCTGAGGAAATTTGATGTAATGCATTTATACGAGTACGATACTTTTGCAGTCCATAGTCGTCGCTGCTGGTCGATATCCAAGAAAAAAATTATGCTCTGTGTGAAATGTTGCAAGACAAAGAAACTTTTGCACTCGTCGTGATGCTGAGTATCCTCGTCGTAGTTACATTTCATGTGCAAGGGAAGCACTACAAAGCTCCTCTTGTGTATGTTGCGAATAAAGTTAAGTACTCACGACACTACTAAACACAGCTTGCTCATTTTGGATTTCATTTTCCTGGATAATCGAGGACGAGGAAACATTTTCCGATCCCCTTTCCTATTAAATGCAAAAGTGTCTGGGTCTGGAAGGTTCTGAGACTTGTCATACACATTTTGCATGAGCCATGATGTCTGTGATGCATGCCCTAGCATCACAGATTTTTTCGGGGCTTCTTGATGCCTATTCCGCATGA